ACAATTTATAAGCAAAAGATTTATAAGTAAAAGATCATACTACTGCTCTTACTAACACCTGAAGAAGGAGTAAGACTCCCAAAAGCTTGTGTTTTCAGATAATCCGGTTGGACCGTAACCTGGTGTCGTGTGATTTCTGACCTTGTCCACCCCAGTCCAACACTGGTACCTCCATATAATGCAAATTGACATTAAATTAGCAGGGTGTGACAGAGCTCTGCACTGCCATACTCAATAGAGTGAAAACATTCCCACTATTATTTTGGGTGCAGATCTCCGAAGTCTCTGTGCAGCAGTGATTTCTGGAACCGGAAGTTAATGCTGCAAACAGCATCAGGGCAGTGATAGCCTTGCATGACCCTTCAAGCATGCAGCTTAGAGGGAACGTTGCCAAATGCCCTCTTCAATTGTTACAACTAGTGAAGTGTCTTACCTCTGAAAGCTGCTTTTCTCAGTTATTGCTTAATACATTTATTAAGGTGATCTATTGGAGGAGAAATTAAACAGATTTTGTTTTTGTTGGTCATGTGTGGAAAAGGTGATAGTTTCATACTTGAACATTGGACATTGTACAGTATGATTGAGGAGAGCCACCTGCAGGCCTCTCACCAGTTTTCCTAAGCCTTTAAAATTAGTGTAATTTCACTGAAAAGTAATGATCTGCTATAGGAGTGAGGGACAGGGCTTAGATTTGATCCAAAATTCTTTTAAGGTTCTTGAGTAGATTTGTAACTCAGGTTGTGGATGTTGAGGTTGGTTGGCTCGCCGAGCTGGTTCGTTAGTTCGCAGACGTTTCATTACCCTGCTGGGTAACATCATCAGTGCAGCCTCTGATGAAGCGCTGCTGTGTTTTCCCGCCTGATATTTAAACTCTGGGGTCCGTTGGATTTGATTACCTCACTTCTGGTTTTCCTTCGCAGTGGTGTACACGTAGGGTCTAGTTCTGTTTGTTGATGGACTTCTTAGTGGAGAGCCAGGCCTTTAGGAATTCCCATGCTTGTCTGTGCTTGGCCTGTCCTAGGATTCTTTATATAAAATTCTTTAGCGAGTCCAAAATTTTGAAAGAAAGTTTGGATAATCAATGCTATTGGGGAGCAGAGACGATCAGCACAAGGGTTTAGTCTAAACAATTCACAATTTAAAATGAAGCCTGTAGATTTATACAAGGGCAGAGGTCAATAAAGACAGAAGATGAGCTAAATTTATATATGTAAATTTCTTCATTTTTTTAGTAGGATTTTGGGAAAACAGGACTCTATCGAATCATTTGAATTAATACCATTATTAGTCAAACTTTTAACTCCAAATTTGAAAATTCTGCCATTGAGCCAAAATGTTGGCTAAAAGGTAGAATTGTCACCCCAGTATCAGAAGATCGTTCAAGCCATACCAGAGACTTAAGCATGTAATCTAGATTTTCACTTCAGTCTAGTGCTGAGATGAGGTTCTGCTGTCAGAGGTGCCAACTTTCAGATGAGGCTTTAAATCACAGGTCCTCTCTGCCCTCTCAACTGGACACAAATTTTCAAAGGAGTTGCTTTAGTTAACAGTATATGTTTTTGTTAGTGTTGACTTTGTACTATCTGTGAGTGACACCTACATGTTTATACATCAGCAGTTGCATTCATAAAATCCCTACAGTGTGAAAGCAGGCCATTCAGCCTGTCAAGTTCACCCTGACCTTCCGAAGAGCAACCCACCCAGACACACCATATACCCTATCTCTGGAACCCTGTATTCCCCATGGCCAATCCACCTAGGCTGCACAACCCTGACCACTATGGGTAATTTAGCATGGCCAATCCACGTAACCTGCACATCTTTGGACTGTGGGAGGAAACTGGAGCACCCGGAGAAAACCCACGCAGACATGGGGACAATGTGCAAACTCCACGCGGACAGGCGCCCAAGGGTGGAATCAAACCCGGGTCCCTGGCGCTTTGAAGCAGCAGTGCTAACCACTGAGCCACCGTCCTGCCCAATTGTCCTACATTATTTCAGAATATACTTCAAAATCGTTCTGCAAGCCAAAAGGCAAAAAGAGATTATATAAATGTACATCACTTTTTTAAAATGCGATCATTTCTATTTAGTTATGAAGTTGCTGAATTCAGTTCTAGTTTTTAGTTTTTCAGGTTGCCATTTAAACTTAAGTGAAAGCCTTCAGTCAGCAATTTTTTAAAACTTTTGTATCTAGTGTGTTGAGTATCCTGGCTTTGATTAATTAACACCTGTGAGCCTAAAGAAAGCCTACACAAAAGTAAAGCAAGTTTTAATATTTCAGATGATTTGTTTCAAACCACCAGGATTTCATTTGTGTAGCTAATCATCTAAATGTCTCATCAATAACTCCACTGTCTTTAACCAAGTTCAGCTGCACATTTGTTGATTTGTGTTTATGATCTAATAATCTACTGCAAAAACAACTCCCACTTTTTGCAATGCTGGTACAGTTTTGTAACAAGAGTCCTTGGTGTATATCTCTCTTCCTGTTGCACACTGTTAAATGGAACAAAATTACATTGAAATATTTAGTTTGCAAGCTTGACCCAAAACTCAAACCACAGGCATATCATTTTTCTTTCAAGAAATGCAGCTGTTCTGCATATTCAGGTGCAAGCTACTCGAATAACAGCTTGCTACTGATTGAGGATCAGGACTTTGTTATGGTTCTAGGCTCCAAACGTGGTGGTCGGTTAGCTCAGTGCTGTAAGTGCAAGATGATGCCATTGGAGTGGTGTCAATCCCTATACCAGTTGTAATGGTTCATGAAGGCCTGTTGTCTTGCCCCTCAAACTACATGACCAATTTGTCTCTCCAGTGGACAGAGATGCTGAATAGTACTTTGTGAACTATGGTTAAGTTCCAGAATATGCCCAATAAAGTTAGAACTTGTTGCATTTGTTTTGTGGATTACATCCTAGCACATATAACTGAAAACGGCACAACAATACTTAGATGTTCCAGTACCAGATGAAAAAGTATTTGCTGACTGATCCTGTACAACACGTACCCAGATGTTTTAAGAGAAAACAATTGTAACTGGAGACAACATTGCAAATAAAAGAAAAATGTGAGGGCACATCCTTTCCTTTTCTGGGACCAGCAAATTTGTTTATTATCATTTCCTAGTTTTATTGCATATGAAACAACATTTATTCTTTCTGTCCCCTTTAATCAAAGCTTCTCACTTTAATAAAATTGAAAAGATAGAAAATGGGCTGCTGACTGGTCACTCATTTTCCATTAGCGTACAACATCAAGATCTAGCCTATTGAGTCAAATCACAAAGTATTTGTATGGTAGAGGGATCAATGAGTTATGTTGGAAAGATCAATGCCCAAAGGGCATAGATTTAAGGCAAGGGGCAGGAAGTTTAAAAGGGATGTGAGAAAAACATTTCTACCCAGAGGATGGTGGGAGTCTGGAATTCACTGCCTATAAGGGTGGTAGAGATAGAAACCATGGTAACATCTAAGAAGTATTTAGATGTACACTTATGGTGCCAAGGCATTCAGGGCCAAGATAAAGGGAGTAGAATAGTTAGGTGGTTGTTCTTAACTGGTGCAGACTATATGTGTGTCAGAGGATCTAGACTCGAAACGTTAGCTTGCTTTCTCTGCATGGATGCTGCCTGACCCGCTGTGATTTCCAGCAATTTTTGTTTTCAGTACAGATTCCAGTATCTGTAGCAATTTGCTCCTACATGGGTCTCTGCTGTAGACCCCTTACTCTATATCTAATTGTCAAGCTGACCTTTAAGAACCCAACATAGTTACAAAGACTTTCCAATACTAACTAGTCATTTAGTAACCGCAGCACTCAGCATTTGTATTGAACATTCAATGAGGCCATTCTCTATATTTCTTATTTTTGTGGAGCTTGTACACACAAGGTGCAATCCCTTGTTTCACCAGTACTTAACCGACCAGATTACTGAGTCAATGGATATACAGCAGGTGTTGCAGTGTTCAGGTTGTGTAAACTGCCCACCTCCAGTAGATACAGATCATAATTTGTACATTGTAAGTTCTCAGATCTTTTGATGGTTTGTACTGCCCAAATTGGCATTCGTTTGTAAATACTTTATTGGCTACAGGGGTAATTACTGGCAGTAGTTAAAAGTAGTGGGGGAGAACAAGGAAAAAATTGTAGTGACTTTGGTGGTGGGAAAGTCACTCAGATGTGTGATAGCACTTCTGAATATAAAAAAAAGACTTATTATTTCTTGCTGTCTCTTCTTTTGACAGTTTGCATTGCCCAAAACGAGCTTTGGGTCTAAATATCTAATTGGCTATATGGGTGGTGGTGGTTAGTAGTTAAAAACAAATTTTAAAAAGTCATGGTGATTTAGTTGTGGATGATAGCACTTCTGGATATAAAAAATAAAAAAAAAAGTAAAGCTAACTCAAAGGGACCTCATTGCACAGTGGTAGTGCCCTTCTGTGGGCTGTGGAGGCCTTGTTTCAAATCCCTCGTGCTCCAGAGATGTGTAATAACATCCATGAACAGCTTGATTTGGAGTAAATATGAAGCAGACTCTGAAGGTTCAGTGGTAGTGCCCCTCCCTCTGAGCCACAAGGCTTGGGTTCAAGTCCCACCTGTTCCAGGGGTATGTCTAATTAAACTATTTTTAAATGCAGGTGGTAAAAAGAGAACATAAAGAAATACTTGCATTCATAATTTTTTTTAGTATAATTTCAGAGTGTCCCAAAATTATTTGTGTGCAATTGATCACCCTTGAAGTACAAGTGGCATTATCTAAGTAAATTTAATGTATGCACAATGTTATTAGTTATTCAAATAAAACAACCATGTCTAACACATTTCAAACTGTGCACATCACCAATGGATTGATTTGGTTGGGATATGTTCTTTGACTTTTGGTAAGAGACGTGAAATTAAAATAAATATTAGGTTCAAATAATAAGAATGATTTATTGCTGGAGCTAAGATTAATATACACTAATATCCTCCCCTCCATCTCTTTCCCCTCTCAGATCAATATTTTACAAAGTGAAACTATCCAAGACGTGGTGCTCCTGGATCCTCGCTGGCTATGTTCCAATGTATTGGGAAGACTCTTGTCCAATGAAAATCATAAGGCTTTACATCACTATAGGGGCCGGTACACAATGGATGACATCCTGCGCCTAGTATCAGAGAAGGATGTAGAAGAATTGTTGCAAATTCTAGATGCAATGGATATCTGTGCTCGGGATTTAATGACTGGCTCAATGGTAGATATTCCTGCTTTAATTAAAGTAGATGGTCTGCATAGATCCTGGACTGATGAAGATGATGAAATGATGGTTTATGGAGGGGTCCGTTTTGTGCCTGTTGAACATCATACCCCATATCCCTGTGGTATTTTCCACAAAGTGCAGGTGAACCTCTGTAGGTGGATACATCAGCAGAACTCTGAAGGAGAGCTAGATGTAAGGTTGTGGACTAATGGATCAAAAATATCCAACAAAGGAACTGAAGTCTTGGTGTTGCTGGTCAACCATGGACAGGGTGTGGAAGTACAAGTCAGAGGGTCAGAAACTGAAAAAATAAGATGTTTTATGCTTCTCGATTCCATTTGTAGTGTCATTGATAATCTAATGGCAACTACTTTGCCTGGACTCCTAACAGTCAAGCATTACTTGAGCCCTCAGCAGCTTAGGGAGCACAGTGAACCTGTTATGGTTTACCAGCCTAGAGACTTCTTCAGAGCACAAGCTCAGAAAGAGACTTCGCTCACCAATACCATAGGTGGATACAAGGAGAGTTTCAGCAGCATTCTGTGCTTTGGTTGCCTCGATATCTATTCCCAAGGAAACCTGGGAATGGATATCCCTGTATCAGAACTGAATCTTCTTGCAAGACGGAAACTTAGCCGCTTACTGGATCCCCCTGATCCCATGGGTAAAGACTGGTGCCTTTTGGCTACAAACTTAGGACTTGTTGACCTTGTTGCAAAACTCAATGCTCAGAATGGAACCTTAAAAGATGAGAAATTTTCTACAAGTCCAACTGGTGCTGTATTGACTGAGTGGGCAGCTTCACCAGAGAATTCTGTAGGGCTTTTAATGTCAAAACTAAGAGGGTTGGGGCGTCGTGATGCTGCAGACTTTCTTTTAAAGGCTTCAGCCATTTTCAAAGTTAACTTAGATATCAATGGGCATGAAACCTACATATCCAGTTGCAATGGAGGAACCTCTTATAATTCAATCAGCTCAGTAGTTTCAAGATAAAAAAAAAACAAGCACTGCAAAGCTGGTGACAGTTGTAATTTTTACTGAATCCTGACTTTATAAAATGCATTCACTGTGTACAGATAATGCCCTAGTTAATGATGTATCTTGCTTTCTTTGACAATAGTGAAATTTACTGTTGTACACTTAAAAAATTTTTTCTTCCACAATTCCTTGGTCAACCGGGGCAAGTGAGAAGTACAGAATCTGAAAAGTTGGTTTCTGAATTCCATTTGAACTGTTGATTGTGGTTTCAATGGGTTATGTACTCAAATGTGTTCTGTAAAAGACAATTTTTAAGAAAAAAAGTTGCAATCTTAGAACTGAAACAATTTTGTCACTAGTGTGGATAAACTTTATAAAGCTGCCATTTGCAAGTTGTCCAGTTTGTCAGGAATATCTTCATCTCTTTGTGATGTCATTTGTGGAAGTCAAGTTCCGAAGAAGCTATCTGCAAGAATGTGAATTTTTATGACAGGTTTTTCATCATCTCACCCATATATTATTTTATTTTCTATAGTGGTGGGGAAAAGGCGAATGTTTGTTTGCTATTGACAATATTAAATTTGATGTGTAATGTCAACAACCAAATGCGAGTGCCTTTTTCAGGAAAAGGTTTCCTGATGTAACTAGACCAATATTTGTTAAAAACCTTTTACATAGGAATCTTCTACCTCCCCATTTCTCTTCTCTAAGGAGCATGCATATCATTAGCATACATGGTATTTGTACTTTTGTACAGATTTTTCAATTTTGGTCAACTTCTCTTCGTTTTGACATGGTTAACCCACAGTTTAAAAGGGAACAAAGTTATGTAGTAATTTCATGTTCATTGACAATAAAACAGTGATGTACAATGAAATTTAATAGTGGGAATTCTTTTTCCATTCTTTGTTTCAGGGAGCATGTGATCTTAAAATTGCAATCTTATCTACACATTTCCGTGCTTACTTGCTTTTTAGTATAGTATTATAACATGAAGTATTTTTAATAAACAATTTACGTGTGAATATTAAGCTCTGAAAACCATTAATTTTGAAGACTTGTATGCGAAGTCTATAAATGTAGAAATTCAGTGGCACCATATCTACTTTCCAAGCACAGCATTGGAGCCAAAGCATTCGTCTGGGGCAGTATATTGCTGATTCTGTGCTGGAGTCCATGCCCTGATATTTTATTAAAAGTGAAAAACTTAACATTAAAGGCTTGCAGCTAAAACAGATGCAAGTCCCCCAATTGCAAGCGCAAAATCTTCAACACTTGTTTGAGGCCATCCAGATCACTTTTGGTGATGACACAAACAGCAGCATATCTTCCGGTCATATCTGACACCAAGGTTGCAAACAGTCTGATTTTACCTGGGACTGTTCTCAGGGAATGGGATGTTTTCAGTGACTAAGGAATAGATCATGCTTTAGTCTTCCCAATGTTTAGTTGGAGGAAATTTCTTTTTATCTAGTATTGGATGTTGGACTAGCTGTCAGTTTAGAGGCTATGGAAAGGTCAAGAAAAGTGATGGTGAGACAGAACTTAGATGCCTGTGGAACTTGACAAATTTTGAGATGTTACTGACGGACAGTGCATAGATTAGATACAGGTGTACCTTATACAAGTATCAAGGTGATGCTGTGGAAGCAGGAAGAGAAGACCATTATAGATTAATCTGTGGCTGTAACTGAGAAGGAAACAAGGTGAGTGCAATCCCACAGCTGGACAACAGGGCAGAGGTATTGGATGAAGATGGTCTGGTCAACCATGTCAAAGGCAACAGGAAATGAAAAGACTACACAATTCGAAAAAAATTTACATTGAATGTCAAATTGTTTTTGTAATATTAAATCTCATGCTGGAAATATAATTGGTGTATCAGTGAGAAAGTAACATTGAAGTAAATTAAACGGTGTGGATTCATCATTGGAATTGAAATATGTGAACTATTTAGTGAAAATTAAAAAAAGGAGAATATCTAAAACAGTTGTTGAATTACAAAAACTGGGAGGGTGAAACTGTGGAAGATGTACAAGGATGAATTAGGGAAACAATAAAAATGTTTGTAAAAATAGCTACTGGAAAACTGGAATTTTCCCATCGCATTGCAAGAAATAAAAATCAGCAACAAGCAGCAGAAATAACACTTCACACTCGTACATAAATGTGAATTCTGCAGTGACTGAATTTACATAACCTCTCCTATGCTGATCTGTTAAAATTATCTGTGCAAACATACAATGTTTTTTGGCAGTTGGAGACATGGCCCATGCAACATTTAATGCTAGAAGCCTGGTTCAAACGGTGTGTATTTAATAGCTTCCATATGCTGCCCAACTAGGTATTTACAGCTGGCAAGTGGTCATATCACTATGGCAAGCCAGCCTGTACACCAAGTATAATGGCATTTCATCAAATATTCCACATTCATTAAAAGAAAATGCATGTACTATCATCTGCAGTTACGATTTACTAAAGTTACCCAATATACATGGTGACAAAATGGATCATTCATTAACAAAGCAGTGTTTTACTGTATTGCACATGCATTGCATACATAATCTTTAAATTGTATAGGTATCCCAACATTCTGCTAATATGTTGCCGGCTTTTCCTCTGGAACTTGCTCATTCCTGGGGTGATGTTCTTTCTCCGGGGATTGTTATTCTTGTAGTGAGTGCTATTGCCATGGTAACCTGATCTATTTCCATTGTTGGAGAATGGCATATCTCAAGGATTGATGGTCATTGTGTGCTCTGTGAGATCATACCTTCCTGATCTGCCTGTAGTGCATCTAAGTTCTATCTCACCTTATCTCATGGTATGTAGATATTGGCAATTGGAACAATGCTACATGATGGTTCTGTACAACTGGATATGACCAAGGTAATGACTGCACAACACAGATTCCAAATTACCACACAGGCTGAGTTTCGTTGAGAGCATTGAATATTTGCACTCTTGAGTTTCTCTCAAATGCTCAGTTTTGCCAATGTCTTTGCAATTTTATCAAAGTGAAATTTGGCATTGTGTCAGTACCCCTTGATATTGTCATTCTTGCCTGTTTAATATTGCAGTTCAGTTCAGGAGTTCTTCTTGCTCTAAGAATTATTGGGTGCCACTTGACATTTGTCTTTGACCCGAACTATTTTCCATGCCTTTAGGAAAGGAGGTATATTTTTCCACTTGAGGATTGCCTTGTTCATAAGAACATGGAGCACGAGTAGGCAGTTCAGCCTCTTGAGCCTCCTGCACCATTGGATAGATGATGATTGATCTCATCGTGGCCTCAGTTCCACTTACCTGCCCATTCTGCATAAAGTTAAAACACTGTGATGGATTGCTTCATTTCATTATGATCCCTTTGATGGATTTCTCTGCTGCCTCAGAATTACCATTTGACTGGGAATAGCATGGAAATGACGTATGGTGTTTAATTTCCCAAACTTGTATAAAGTGGTGGAATTCTTCATTCACGAATTGAGGACTGCTGTCACCCATCATTTGTGGAATGCTGTAACAACTGAAATGTGTTTACTGGAATTCTTCCACCTTACTGGTAATTGTTGCTGTTAGCTGATTCAACTCCCAATAGTCAGAATATAACCAACAGTGACATGATAATCAGGTTCAAGCAAAAGTGACAAAATCTACTTACAGCTTCATTCGTAGTTTGTCAAGAATGTCATTTGCCATACGTGGCGCTAGCTTTGCTTGGTATTTGTTACAAGCACTGCATTCGCTGGTGTGGTCTTTTAACCCATTGCTCATAATTGGCCAGTAGAGTATTTCTGTCATCTTCAGGTGGAACTCAATTAATTGATGGCTTATGTGGACACACTTCAGTATGCCTTTCCTCATCCCCTTAGAGATAATGACCCCTCCCTTTCTAGTAGATGCCTATTTGGGCCATCACTTCATCTCTTCATGTCTTCTTTACTCTCTCTCAACAACAGATAATTTCCTTGATGCTTTCAGACCATCCTTTCATCCATACTTCCTGTAGCACTTGGAGATTTGCTTGATTTGAGCAAGACACTTGCCTTTTATAGTCAATGTCTCTGCCAGGTTGCTAACTTCTACAGCATGTCAAGCTGTTGCATCTTGTTGTATCTGCTGGCCTTCACACTGTCTTCACAGCCTCAACTTTGTTCACAGGGAGTGTTGCTGTTGACAGCATATTGGCAATGTTTGTCTGTTTTTCGTGCTTGCATTTAACATCAAGATGACATCTCTGCAAACAAAATAACATTCTTTCCAGATGCTTTGGTGCAATATGATGATGCTTTGACATGGCTTGTTGTCAAACTCCTCTGGCATTTTGTCTCTCCCAAAGGGGTATTGATTGAAATGCTGACAAGCAAAGACAATATTTAATATGACAGCATCATTCAGTTTGTGTTAATGCTCTGGACGCAAATGCACTGATGTCCTAGCTGAATAAAAGTTGCTTCAAATCATCACAGTCATTTCAGTAAAGTAAAAGCTGGTTCACGTGTTATGCTACAATACTACTGCACATCCTTAGCAGTGAGTTTGCATAGATATTTACATTCTGATGACAAATATTAGGCATAACTAACTTAAATTATTTATGAATCCAACATATTATTATACTACTTTCCCGTCTGCTGGTCACTGCATCTTTGCTATAGAACTGCATTCTGACAGAATGCAGGCAAAGTCATTTTTTTTTTGTCAGTACATGACCTATGTACTTGATTTCGGGTACCTTCAGTTGCATCTTTTTCTTGGTGAGCTAGAAGCTTGCATGTCAAGCTCTATCTAGCAAGTCTCAGTAGATTCAGACTGTGGTCTGCGCTGGTTTCTTCCACTGTTTCTCTGCATCCAAAGATTAGCAGATCATTCACAGTAGCTTCCACTTAAATTATTTTGCACTGTCTGGATTAATTCTCTTCTGGACCAGTGGAAATGCCAAATTACATGCACAACTATATCTCTCAGTTTAAAACAGTTGCTTTCATCCAGTTTCACTTGCCAGGAATCATCTTTTGCATTAAGGGTAATAAACATCTTTGCCACATGAAGTTGTGGCAAACTTTCTTTGACTTGTATTGAGTAGTGCAATCTCTTCAAAGCCTTACGGAGATATTTTGGATCTATGTATGATCTGTTTTCCAGGTTTTTTCACTGCTAATCTAGGGTGTAGGAATTGTAACTTTCTTGGTGACTCCTTTCATTTCCAGCTCTTCAATCTAATCTTTCAGGATTAGGGCAGCTGCAATTTCTCAGCCGATGTTGAGATGATCTCCTCTTTCATCTACTTTGCTATTCATCAGGAAGACATCCAAAATCTGTTTTAAAAACAAAATTGTAATTTGTTTTGGGATTGGTTCAGCAATCAATGGCTGAGTGGCCTGCAAAATGCTGCAGGTTTGAGATATTGGAAGGTTTAGACATGTTGCAGCTGCGACAAGTGTATTTTGCTTAACATCATACAATCTGGAACTGCAGATGCTTATTCTTCCCATTGCTTTGGGTTCTCGGCTTAATTTGTCATCTTGGCATGAGTGTTATTTGATCATGTAGCTTCAACCTTGCTTTCAATGGATTTACATTTTGTTACCATTTTGAGCAATATTGTACAAATCTACAAAGCTCATGATGTTTCATGAAGCATCAGTGTCTGGCACTTAATGTTAAGTAGATGTTCACTTCTGCTGTCATTATTCTAATAGTCACAAACTATCACCTTTAGCCCTGACAACATCAATTTGTTGCAAAGTGTAAAGAGATTTGTCAGAATTAGCTGAAATCTTCCCAGAGCTACCTTTCCTGCTTTCCTCCTTTCTAGCTAAACACTTGCACGAAAAGCGTTTCAGCTTCTTTCGGTTTAAAAACTTGTTTTTCTAT